TGTCAGAACCACTTAGCTTAAACCCGTAAACCCGTTTAGAGCAGAAACGCGGCTAGCCATACGGGCCTAACCGCGTATATATAAACCCTAACCGGATTTTGTATGTACATCGCGCTAAACGGAAATGTGTAGCTAAAAGCAAAGTGCAAGGTGAGATAATTTATAGATTACTGGGCAAACCCGCTCCGCTGTCACTGAGTGCTTTCGGACATTCGGTTTTCAACTACACGTGGGAGTTTCTGAACTGTGCAGCATGGCGGAGAAAGTCGCGAAAAGGGTCAGAAAAGCGAACTTCAGTGCTGAGGAAATTAAAATACTACTTGAAGAACTGCAAGTGTCTTGGAGAAAACGTCCCCCATGTTCGTTATTCATAGCACCACATTCATAAGAGCATCCACATTGTTACAAATATGACTTGCACTTTGCTTTTAGCTACACATTTCCGTTTAGCGCAATGTACATACAAAATCCGGTTAGGGTTTATATACGCGGTTAGGGCCCGTTGGCTAGATATGGATAGATGTTTATCAGGAAAGAAGGAGCAAATCACACCACAGTATACACCAACCGCCCGCTGATTTTCACTTAGTTTCTAACAAGAAACGCCATATGATCACGCACAATTGACTGGACGATCTTCTCAGAGACATAAAGTCAGTTCATAAAACGTAAAGCTGAATTATTGAGTTCAAGTCTCCATCAGTTAAGGGAATTTGCTTACTGACGGTGTGAAAGTAGGCACTTTGGCGAAGTTCCGACAAGGATTTTCGGATATTTTTTTTCCAATGAAGGGCAAGCTGGTTCTACATGTAACAATGTGGATGCTCTTGTGAATGTGGTGCTATGAATAATGAACAGGGGGGGGGGGGGGTTTTCTCCAAGACACTGTAGCTATGGAAAGCAACACCAGGGAAAAACGAGTGATAATAATATTATGTTAACAGATTACAGTTACGAGAAATGTACCAGAACTTGAATAGCTCTTATAAAAAGTAAGCCTAGAAACGAGTCAAATAAGAACAAAGTGATGTTAGCTATTTTTGAGACCCCATTACTTTTTAAAAAAATGAACTCTTGAATATCTTGACAACTAAACCAAAACACCAAATTTCACTACATTTTCGTGTTCAGCACTCCAAAATCCACATAGAAAGTGAAGTTTGAGCCCCAAGGCATACCACTTAAAAAAATGTGTAGATCAGAGTAATCAGAGCCGAAAGGGGAGTTTTTCACTAACACTAACAGGGATCTCCAACTGCTCCCTCGGAGGTTAGCCATAATATTAATTTCTGATTTTAATTCTTACATGTATTCATGTATGTAGGTTTAGGAGGCAGGCTTCGACCCTGCCAGTCACGACCAACCCAGGCACAAAGAGATACGTACAACATCTCAGGAGACGAAACTGAAACACTTGATAAACATTCTCCGAATGTGGGAATCGAACTAAGGTCTTCTGCACGTAATGGTGAAGTGCTAATTTCTACAAGTACAACACAGAGGCCAGTCTGCACTCCTCATCATGTCCTTACATTAAGTAAAAGAGGGCACAACAGACATGAATGAATCGAGACACAATCCTAACACATTTGACATTTCGCCCTTTAATTTATTTATAAATCAGTAATAATATTATATAACAAATATTTCATAATATAACATTGAATACATATGAACACCAAAAACTTGAGCAGATGTTCTGGATCAAATCAAGAACAGGTTGTACAACCAAATAAATACATTACAAGAATAATGTTTAGAAGTTATAGAGGGACCGAAAGGGGGCTCTCGTGGCCCAGCCTAGAGGTTAAGGTGTTCGCCTCTCATTGAAAGGTCCCTGGTTCAAATTCGGGCAGCGACGGAAAAATTTTCTTTTCTAAAATTGTCTCCTTTTCCGCCTCCTTTCCTGCTCTCTGGCAATGTTCTGTCATCTGCTTTCGTCTCCAATTTCTGCCCCCACCCCCTCACCTCCCTTGCCCCCTCTGGGCTTCTGACTTTTTCTGCAGCCTTTCTACTGTTACTCCTTGGCTCCTTGTTACTGCTGTCTTTCAGCCACACCCCTGATCTTCTAGTAGGAAAGATCTACACCTAGCTTTCTCGGACAAGGGCGAAAAATCTCGAAGGTCTTGTGTGCAAGTTGTGCACGATAAAGATCCCTTGGTGGTCTAAAATCGATCAGAGTAGGCTTCGGCCACCACCCGGGCAAATTCAAAATTTCCAACTAACTGAAAATGTTTAAAATGCGCCCCGAGCACTCATTGACTTTTATGAAGTTGCCAGCACCGTAAAACACTAACCACAAGAAAAATGAAAAAAAATGTTATGTTAGCAAGCTGTTCCACTGTTCTATGCCCAGAAAGGAAAGATTTTCAGGAGAGGAAAAATTCGTTTTTCTTTTAATAATTAGGCATAAATTATGTAGGCTACTTGATGTGTACGTTGTCTACCTTTTTTTAACATTTAGAAAATGAATTTCAACAGAATATTACTACATCAGATGTACATAGGTTAAAAAATTGCAAACAAAAGAACATATCAAACTTTGGATTAATATATATATATATATCTGAACAGGTGGCTTATGATAAGCATGTGGTAAAGTCTGAGAAGAGTTTGTTGGTTACGTTAGAGTTTTATGGCATTTGCAACATAATTAGGTCAAATAAATACTGAAGATTAGAGGTGTTAAAAGAGAGTAATTTAATTATTTAGTAGAGGTTTTACGGCACTCGCAACTGCATAAGGTCATATGAGTGCCAAGGGGTGGATGTCAAAAGAGATGTCTTTACAGGGAATCAGGCTTACTCTGCTCACCTCTCTAGCTTCAACAGCACAAAGTCTGTTTCGACTTTCAAGGCACCGCAGAAATAGCGAGTCACAAGAGTGTGACAAACAACATACAAAAGAAGTAGAGGAAAAATGACAATAGTAAGGATTAGGATAGAAAAAGCAGCAGCTCCCTGTTGTAGATCAGGCAGTTATGAGCGTGACATTGATGAATCAGCCCATTTACAATTCTACTGTGCATGAACGAGAAATGTCCCCCCTTTGGGAAAGGCCTAAAGACACTTCAGTCAGTGGCACCGCCCCGGGGGGTCAAGAGTAACAAACACATAAAAAGAAGGAAGAGTGATAAGGATGATAGATACAGGATAGAAAAGAATGAGCAAACAGCAAACCCCACCAGACCACCCGCCAACCAACCCCTGAGAAGAGTTTAGCCTTCAGCTAAAAAGTGACAAAATCATTGTTAAATCTAATAAAAAAACAAATACACAAGAGATCATTATGTACAATAAAGTTGATTTGAAAACTACCATTTCCTTAAAGAAATGAAATACATTTCATGCCATTGTATATACTTGATACTGCAAACCGATTCTAAATGACTAAATGCAAATTGAACAATGCCAGTGTTACTGCATTCAGAAACGGTTTCAAAAGATTAGAAATGTTACAGGAGAGTAACAAATACAAAATACAAATATGATGTTACTGCCAGAATACTTTTAGTTTAGTTTTAGTAGAGATTTTACGGCGCTCGTAACTCCATAAGGTCATATTAGCGCCAAGGCGCGGATGTCAACAGAGAAGTCTATACAGGGAATCAGACTTACTCTGCTCACCTCTTTAGCTTCAACAGCACAAAGTCTGCTTCGACTATCAAACCATTCCAGAAATAGAGGGTCAGAAGAGAGTGACAAACATACAAAAAGAAGTAGAGGAAAAATGACGGTTGTAAGGACTAGGAAAGAAAAAACTGCTGTCCCACGTATGCAGCAGTTCAGTTCAGGCACAGTTATGAGCATGACATTGATGTTTGTTTTAGTTTTAGTAAGAGTTTTACAGCACTTGCAACACAATAAGGTCATATAAGAGTGTTTGCGTGCATGTGTGAGTGTGTGTGTGTGTGTGTGAGAGAGAGAGAGAGAGAGAGAGAGAGAGAGAGAGAGAGAGAGAGAGAGAGAGACTGATAGAAAGAGAGTGACAGAAAGAGAAGATTAGAGGTGTTACAAGAGAGTAGCAAACACAAAATAGAAGGAGAGACATGGGAGATAGATGTTTGATAGGAAAGAAGGAGCAAACCACACCAGAGCATCCGCAAACCATCCTCTGGCATTGAAGAATCAAACGATTTACAATTCTACAGAGTATAAGAACATGTTAATGCCCCCCCTTTGGGAATGGCCTACAGACACTTCAGTCAGTAGCACCTCACTCTCCGAGATAAGATAAGATAAATCTTTATTATCCAGCTGCTGTCACATGGGTTTGTTGTTTCACCACAAACATTGCACATTACTTAAAACCATACAAACATTGTATCTCATACATCTATTAGTCTAAACACACACACACAGTCACATAGAGACCCAGTCTTTAGTTTAGCTTTCAGTTTCGTAAGAGTTTTACAGCACTTGCATCACAAATTGGTCATGTGGCCAAACACTAGACGTTTTACAAGAGAATACATACATACAAAGAGAAGAAAGAGAAGAAATAATGCTGATTAAAGTTGATTGGAAAGAAGATGCAAGCCTCATCAGAACACCCACCAACCACCCACTACTCAGCCCTTGACATGAATCACATTCCTTTTGTCTCTTATAAGATAAGATAAGATACATCTTTATTGTCCAGATCCTGGCACATTGGTTTGGTGTTCCACCACGAGTACACACACACACACACGCACGCACACACACACACACACACACACACACGTGCACGCACATGCACACATAAGTAGGCTTACAATCACATACATAATATAAATGAGCAGCAATATAAACAATAATAATCGTAAGCTAGAAACACACTCAAAGTTATTTTGATGCATGCTCTAAGGTCGTAAGTACACTAAACAAGATAGATGGTTAAGATGGAAGCATTTTGATAGATGATGGTAAAAATGACCTTCTGTATCTTTCTTTGTTACAGATCAGAAGCATGGGTCTTTTACTTCTGACTGATGTTTTTATTTGAGGGAACAAGGGATGTTTGTTGTCTAAAAAGATGGAATTAATTTTCTTAGTGCAAGCTGTTAAGTACAATTCATCCAAGTGGGGGAAAGCTGCTTGAAGCCGAATAACATTTCAGAAAACTTCTACTCTAGGACACTAAATTTAGATGCAAGCAGTCTCCAGTTTAATATATATATCTGTTTCATTTCCTGTAAAAGAGTGTGAGGTTTCTTGAAGTCTAACAAAACTTTCGGATATATCTACTACTATATTTAGGACATTACTTTCATGTACAGCAGCTGATCTAGACAAATCTGTGGGCTCCTTGCCTGACCCTTTTCAGAAAATATCTTCAGACAACAAGCATTATACACGAATGCCAGTCAACTCCATGCTTTTTAAATTTAGATAGAAGGTGACTAAAAATCTGAAACGGCAATCCCTCCCAACCCCCCATGATCGATGAAACTAATCCAACATACCTAGACCTAATTATATCAAGCCTTCCATGTCAATTATTAAAACAAATCGCAGTTTTAAAACAAAAGGAAAAAAAATTGCCAAGAGACAAATACAAAAAGTTCCAACAAATATTTCATAAGTTACAGAAAAGTACACGCAAGATATCACAAAATCTATACAACAACAGCAGCAGCAGCCATCATCACATTGAGGCCTCTTCCTTCTCCGGCAGATTCTCCTCTCAGTTTTCAGAACTTTTTCTCCAGTTTTCTCCTCCGGCGAGGAGGCCGTGGAGCAATGACACTGCGCCCTTTGCTGGACTCTGGCAATGAGAGAAAAATCAACACAATACAGTGTTACTAAAGCCTTCAGCTGTTTTTAGGTCACAAAAAGTTAATACAAAACAATATTAGATAAAATTTCGGCTGCTTTGGGGGATTAAAGTTTATAGAAAACAGTACAATAGAAGCCTTCAGCTGCTCTTGGTGCTAAAAAGTAAAATACAAAACAAGGGTTATATAAAAGCCTGAGGCAGTTCCTGATGATTAGTTTTAGTGTTTTACGACACTTGCAACACAATAAGGTCATATTAGTGCCAAAGATTAGAGGTGTTACAAGGGAGAAACAAACACAAAATAGAAGGAGGGGAGATAACGACAATAGATGTTTGATAGGAAAGAAGGAGCAAACCACACCAGAGCACCCGCCAACCACCCGCTTCCTGAGGACTGAAGTTCGTCCAAAACAGTGTTTTATAAAAGCCTTTGGTTGTTCTTGGCCATAAAAAGTTAATAAAGCTGTTCTCGGATGATAAAAGTTCAATAGATAATACAGTACAGCAGTACAAAAGCCTTCAGAAGAAGAAGAAAAAGAAGAAGAAGAAGAAGAAAAATAAAAAGGAGGAGAAGGAGGAGGAGAAAAATTGTTAGAGCAGAGCATCATGTACGTAGATTTCATACCTCTAGCTGAATACTCTGCAGTGTCAGGAAAACCCAGTGACCAAAAATGTTCCGGAGTGGACGGTGGCCGAAACTTATCCCTGTGCCGAGAACACTCCTTCATTTTCTGCTGCATTTCTTCCTCGGACAGACCAGAGTTCTTGTAATACTGCAGAGTTTAAGTTTTTGAAAGAGTTTTACGGCACTTGCAACACAATTATGTCATATGAATTTTGAAGATTAGATGTGTTACTAGATATTAACATACAAAGAAAAGAACGAGAGATAGGGACAGTGAAGTTTGATGGGAAAGAAGGAGAAAATCACACCAGAGCACCCATCAACCAGCCTTTAATACTGTGGAGAGCATGGTAGATACATTTTGAGTTACAAGAATCACATAATTGCTATGTTGTTGTTGTTGTTGTTGTTAGCGATCCAGTAGCATCTGAGCGTTAACTCTTCTGCATGATGCCATTCAGTAATAGTTGCATGTTTGTTCTAACTGTTGTCTTGAGGAGTAGAGGCAATTAGATGTGTGGGGTAGCTTGGGAAGAAAACATCCCCTTAAATCAGTTAGTTTTCTACAGAAAAACAGATGATGTTCCAATGTCTCTGAGGGGTAGTCACATAGTGGGCAGGCAGCAGACTGCTTTACTCCAATTCGGTTGAGATGTTGGTTGAGGGGTACATGTTGTGTTCTAAGTTGGAAGATTATGGATTGATCTCCCCTCCTCAACTCATTGATTGGATCTTTGACCAGTGGTTTATTCATGTGGCCATACATCCTCCTTCCTGTGGCCCAATCATTCATCCACTCTTCCTTGAGGTTTGACTTGATCATTTGGCAGCAGGTGGTGTAATTCGTAGGAATTTCAGGCTGAGGGAGACTAGCTCCTTTCTTTGCCAGAGCATCAGCTCTTTCATTTCCCGGTATCCCAGTGTGGGCAGGAATCCATTGTAGGACTACTCTGACGTGGTGCCCACTTATCAAGTTATATAGACTCCAAATCAAATGCAATATATATTTGTTCACATCAGTCCCACTCTCAAGTGTCTCTAGTGTTGAAAGGCTGTCTGTAAATATAACGATGTCAGTGGTAGCAAGTGGGTTAGTGTCAAACAAGTAGTTGATGTAGTTTGCTGTGTTGGTGATATCCTGTTGTTCGGCAATGAAATTGGAGCAGAAGGACCCGCTGGAGTTGAAGACTTCTTTTTTTTTCCCACTGGGCAAGTTGATCACTGACCCATATCCAGTGTTGATTGTTGCCTTAAAGGCAGATCCATCAGTGTATGAGTGGATCCATGTTGGTGGATAAGAATCAATTGTTTCAAGGGCAGAATGTTTTAGTGCTACAGGATATGTGTTTTTATTGCTCTTGTCTAAAAGTGTTTTCCTAATTTCTGGCTTTGCTATGGTGAGATGTGGTGGGAGAGTTGAGGGAACTCTTTCCAGAGGTTTTCGTCTTTCAGGGAGGTGATGTTTTTCTTGGAGATTGAGCACAGTGTCAAGTACAGATTTTGTATTTTTTAGTCTTTGATTAGGTTTCCACTTGTCAACAAGGACTCTACTAGGGTGGTTATTTTCTAGCCTTTCAGATCTTTCATATATTTCTAAAGCTGCCTGTTTTCTTCGAGTTTCTAATGGCTCAATATTTGTGTGGATTTCACAGGCCGCAGTCGGTGAGGATCTCATTCCGCCAGAGATAAGACGAAGAGCTTGGTTTTAGATGGTGTCCATCGAGTTCTTTGAAGTTTTACTGCAAAATGTTTTGTACAACAAGATTATGATCAAAAACAGCTCTGGTATATCCCAAATAGAGGCCTCTCAAGGTGTTCTTGTCTGATCCCCAGTTGGTACTAGCAAGTCGTTTGATGAGATTAAGTCTCTTCATAGCCTTCTTCCTGAGGTTGTTGGTGTGTTGTTTCAGGTTGAGCTTGCTGTCAAGTTGTACTCTAAGATACACTGGGTTATTCTCCTTTTTCAAGTTGTTACCATCTATTTTGAGAGGGATTTCTGCATTTGCAAGGTTATAGCTTCTCGTAAAAACAGAGTAGACAGTTTTTTTGCGATATACTTTCATCTTCCATAGATGGCAATAGGTTCCTAGGGAATTTAGATCATCTTGTAGTTTTCGTCTGCTTATTGTTGTCGAGTTTCCAGTGTGCCAAAGGACCAGGTCGTCAGCAAAAAGGGCTTTTTCTGTTTTGAGAACATCTGAAACATCATTGAGGAAGACAAGGAATAAGGTACAGCTGATAGACGATCCCTGTGGGAGTCCTTCCTCCAGTACTGCTTTTGAAGATAGGGTTTCATCCATCTGGGTCTGGATAAGTCTATCTGTAAGGAATGATTTACTCCAGGACATGTTTCCATTGATTCCCATGTTCTGCAGTTTTAAGAGTAGTCCTTTCCTCTACACTCTATCGTAGGCTTGTTGGAGATCCACAAATACAGCCGTTGTCTGTTCCCCTCTTTGAAATCCATCAATGATTTTCTGTGTGAGCCTGAAGAGCTGGTCTTCTGTCCTGCCTTTTGACCTGAACCCTGCTTGACACTGTGATATCAGACCTGAAGACTCAAGCCACCAATAAAGACGAGAATTGAGGATTCTTTCACAGAGCTTGCCAATACAGGACGTAAGTGATATTGGGCGGTAGATTTTAGGGTCCATGGCCTTCTTTCCTTTCTTTAAGATTGGGTTTATAGTAGCTAGTTTCCATGCTTTAGGCAGATTTCCCTCAGTCCATGTTCTGTTGAAGAGCTTAAGAAGTAGCAATTTGGCTTTTTCACCAAGGTTTTGTAGCATCTCATTGTGTACTTTATCAGGACCTGGGCTTTTTCGCTTTTTTAGTTTCTTGATTGCACAGCCCAACTCTCCCTTAGTTAAGAAGTCCTGGAAGATACTCGGTGTCATCAAATCTCTCTCTTTTCCTTTCAGAACACTCTGTAAGCCCCTGTCTAGGTCATTCCTTTTGCTGCTCTTGTTAATGGAGGCAAAATGTTTATTGAAGTGTTCTGCTTTTTTTAACTCGCTGGTGAGAACTTCGGTTTCTGTGTGTAGTGGTTTGGGGTTTTCTTTCCTTTTTTCGCCAGTGAGGTTATTTAGAAGTGTCCAAGCTTCACGTCCACCTTGATGTAAATTGAGTCCCTCACATTTCTGCGTCCAGGCTTCCTTCTTAGATTCCTTGGTGACAAGTTTATTCTCTGCTACGGCCTTTTTGTATCTAATTTTCTTGTCCATATTTTTTAGATCTTTCTCTTATATTCATGTCTGGAATCATTTTTAGTTTTTGTAGCTTTCTCCAAGCCCTCGTTCCAAAAGGGTTTATAGTTGGTTCTGCACCCCTGTGGGATACTCTTCTTTGCAACATCTGAGATGGTGGAGGTGAGTTCACTATTAAGGGCGTCTATACTTTTCTTGTCCAGATCATCCAGTTTAACGGTGTCCTCAGCTGTTTTTCTGAAGAGATCCCAGTTTGCTTTCTTGAAGTCCATTTCCAACGGGTTCTTCTTTTCCTTTGTCTGTGTTTCAGTATACTGATTTTGGTGAGAACGGGACGATGGTCACTAGATATACAGTCTAGCACCTCTTCACTGCAATTGTTGTGTAAATCAGCAGAGACCAAGGTGAGATCTGGTCTGTGGAGGGTCCCATGTCTCCTGTGAAGAAGTGTTTTGGCTGAATCCTCATCTTGAAGAAGGATGAGGTTAGAGGACAGACATAGTTCTTCAATCCTCTTACCTGTGTTGTTTTGGTCAGCATAGCCCCAAAGGGGGGAGTGTCCATTAAGGTCACCAGCTATGACCGTCTTCTTAAAGATAGTGCTCTGTTCCAAGAAGTTCAGAGTGCTACTTGGGGGACAATAGATGTTATAAAGTATGAGCTTGCTGTTGCCATACTACAGGGTGACTTTGTGTGTGTCTGTGGGGTGCCAATTAAGGAGCTCTACTTCACCCTGGATGTCATTTCTGATATAGGTTATAATCCCTTGGCAACCTTCACATTTACATGGATAAGGGGTATACCCAGTGATGTTTATGTCACAGGATGAATGGAGAGTTTCCTGTAATAGAGCAATGTGGACTTTCCTTTCATACAAAATTTTCCCCAATTGTGTTTTCTTCTTGTCCAAGCCACAGACATTTGCCTGAAGAATATTGAAGTCTATAAGCTTCTCTTTTCCGTTACCAGCTGTAGGGGGTGTTTTCTTCTTGTTTTTCCATTTTCTCTGCTTTCTGATTTTCTTTTTCTTCCAATAACCATCCACCAGGCCAGCTTGGTTGCCCACTAAGACCTGGGGGAGACCTTGATTACCGAGGCGGCGTCTCAGCTCGTATGGGATTCTATCATTTGTGAATAGCATCTTAAACTGGTGGTTGTGTGATTTTCCTTCCATCCCGGGGTAGGAGATAAAGCAGTGGCTGTAGGTGCAATGCCACAAACAAAAACCCAACTCCATCACAGAGAGATTGTAAGAAAAATGAATTGGTATGTTGGTGTCTGTTATATTATATTGAGAAGTTGTTTGAGGAGATAAAGAAGAGAAAGACGCTATTAAGAGCATAGTTGCTGTGTGTTGCTGAAATAAAAAAAAAAAAATAATAATAATACGAATAGTAATAATAATACCAATTGGAAGCTAGATTTCCCCCCCTCCTACCCGAGCAACAAAGTCCTCTCATCCAAGAGATGGGGGCAGGGGAAGGCATGGCAGATCCCAGAGGGTAAATGTTGTCAACAAGCAAGACGCAAATGGTCTCTGCACCTTCTCCGCAGTCATAGGGCTCTCCGACATAATTGCTATAGAATGAAAGTTATTTAATTCGATTTTGTTTGAGTTAAGAAAATCCCATTGTCACTGTATAATAACAATAACAGTCATTTAGTCTCTTTCCTTTTTTTTTTTAAGAGAGTAAGGAGAGACACATTGATAAAACAATGATCAATGAAGTAAAGCAAGGAAAAAGAAAAACAGAACTGAGCATACATAATGGATAATTTACTACTTGTTCGTCAAAAATTCCTTTTAAAAATCACTTGTGGGTAAGCCTGTCTTATTGCAAGGGTGACCCTATAGCACAAGCCAATGTAACAACTAGACTGTATACGGTTAGAAGGAGGAAGAAAACCAGCTCAACTTACACATCATGGGTCTCCAAACTACCACCTAAAATAAATCAACCCAGAAAATATACCAATGAGCTTGCTCTGCAGTCATTTTTTTTATTACAGTACAGTAAGTGCAGTTTTTACACATTTACAAGAGACCCAAAAATGAAGAAACAATGCTGTTACCAAGAAAAGAACATTTGCTATAGATAATAAAGACGGTATTATAAAAATTGTATTCTTTAAAATATATTGACTTGGGATGTTCGCAAAGAGTTTGCTTTTTTGGTAATAACATTTAGTTCTCAGGCTCTCCTGTAAAATTATAAAAAATTGCAAATACTGCAGTTGTAAAAATGACCGCAGCGCTATTTGAATGTCACAAGCTGCAGGATAGAAGACGGCAACTTCTTCCACAGACAATACCCTATTAGGCAGCAAAGACCAATCGTTGAAGACCTCCACCATTTTTAACAGGGCATTTGGCTGAGGCCACATGCTTTAAGGCTACTGGATTTAACAAACAACAGCAACATACATCATGGCACTGTTTACAGCTGAAGCCCTGTAGCTTGTTCCTCTCGCTGTGCTTCCTCACCACCTCCACGTGGGCAAACTCACGGCTCTCATCTGCCGGCACCCTGTGGAGACACACCATGCAGGGTTCATTTTACAACAGTCAAACTTGCCCAAGATGGTCATCCATTGTCGAGGAGAAAAGAGGCTGTCTTAGACAGGTGACGTCTTGGACAGTGTTATAGACCTGCATGTGAGCCTCAACCAGATTGCCTGAAAATTTTGCGCAACCCCCCCCCCAAGAGCTTTTGTGGGTGTCATAAGGAAGGACTTCCAAGTAACGAGCGACCACCTCAAAAAACACAATAAAGAAAGAAGAGACCTAACCCTACCCCTACCCCAAAAAAGAACCTGCAACAGGCCTCATGTAAAAAGGCCAGCACAAGTCCAAAATTAAAAAATTAAAAAATTTGAAAAACCACACTCCAAAACAAACAAGGAGCATAATATGGCCTAGATATCTAGATCTAGATTCTACATCTACATTGCTATAATAGGGTTTCATACAATAACACAATAGAATTGGAATGTGAATCCTCCATATAGATCTAGATCTAGTAATCTAAATAAATCTTGTAGAACAAGTGAATAGGAAGGCCTTGAAACTAACTAGAAACCCGCATCCGATTCCCAACAGACGGACTCAGCTGAGTCTAGATTCTAAATAAATAAATAATTCACCCACCTAATGAAATGCTTTTTACCAACATTAATATTACAGCTCAACCTATGATAGGGTTTGACAAAATAGAATTGGAATATGTATCCTCCATTGAGGTCTATAATGATCTATATAAATCTAGAATCTAGATCTAATCTAGATTCTATTAGAACAAGTGGGTCGGACTTGAATGAATCTACACGATCTGAACAATTGAATTAGTATTTTAAAAAAATGAAATTCAAGATAGCCGCTCGAGCACGAAACTGAAAGTAGAAAATTTAGGTCGTCGTCCTTTTTCATATTCGCATTTCTACTCAGGTTCCGACAATAATGTCGGAAACGCCGACGTCGGCAGTCAGCACGAAAACGAAAGTGCCGATAAAGCCGACGGGAGAAAAAGGGGGACTGGCAGCCAGCCAGGCCAGGCATCGAACTATGCACATTGACTGATACAGGTGGGCCTAACGATAGAATCGGCCGGCTCACGGGTCGGGTCGCGACTGTCGGATTTCAGACGATTGTCGGCAAACATGCAGGTCTAAGTGTTATTACTATATTTTTAAAATGCAAAGGAAAAAGTAGGAAATGGTAGTTTGTACTGGTAATTGTCTAGGACAGGTGTCAGTTACAGTAGGTTTGACTGTCAGTAGAAATGTGTTTGTGTTAAAGAGAGAAAATTAATCACAGTTTTTACAACTAGTGATTCATTGTTGTGTTTTGCACCCCTTATGGCACAATTTAGATAATCTAGAGGGTGAGCCCCTTTAATCCTAGCAATGCAAATGAAAAATTTATTTTTCACTTTAACCCCTTTTCATTTGGTATCTAAGAAAGAGTTGTCTATTTTAAGCATTATGCTTTTTTAATTTTAAGAATCGGTTCATAAATTAAAAAGTCATAGGGGTCGTAAAGTGGGGCAAAAATTGGATGACCACATAAAGGAAAATACTCTCAAGAAGTGGGCCACGTAACAACAGATTCTGAAAGAAAATCGACGACATTTTGGTAACTGATTAGAGCGTTTGAACAATCTTGGCTACTCAATGTGTTTTTGTGTGGAGAAATCATTTTTTCCTGTCAGATTTACTTTCAATTTTGTAGTTATTTTGTTATAAATAAAATTTTAGTGTACATATTTATTATTAGGATTTTGAGAAATGGGTGTCGGGATGAGAGCATTTTATTTATAGCATCGTACCACATCATGGGATCTTTAAAGATATGTTGCCAGCAAGATGAAATAATGGCAAACTTTCAATGATGGCTTTAGACCACTCCAACCATAAAATATAATTTAATTCAATCTAACACGTACAATTAAAAAGCTTTCTTTTTTCCGCTGAGACGCGAACACCCCATGGCCAGAGAAGCTCGTCTTGGAACACCCCCATAACCACGTTAAAGGGGAAGAGAGAGAAAAACAACCGGATGCACGCGCCTGCTACTGCCTCTTTTCAAGTGACCAATGAACGGGCTTGGAGTAATAATGTGGGAATTTGTAGGTCATATACATTTGCCAAGTGAGCCCAGGGAAAATGGCCATTCTCCGTGCGAAGCCGCTTTAGACAGGACTAGTAGCGACAAAATTAATGATAAATTCTAAAAACCTACTTGACATAGAACTTTCAAATTTGAGGACTCTATAGAGGAAAGAGAGATCTCTTACGTTCTTGACCTTGAAAACCAAGCTCCTTTTAACTTTCAGAATGCCTGAAACTAAAGTGTTTCCAACACCAAAAATATAGGTTAATTTATGTGTACAAAAATTCCCACATCATTAGTTTGCTTTATTTTCTAATTGAAATTGGTTGCCAAGTTTCATTTATATTTGTGGTCACTGGAGTGTGTCCTTGAGCAAGACACGACAACCCTAGCTCAAATTACAGGGCGCTGCACAGTGGCGACCGACAGTGGCATTGTTAGTAAACTGTTCTGTATTTGTGTAATAGTGTGTATTTATGTATGTATTTATGCATGTATGTATTTACGTATGTACGCATTTATAATTATGTATCTATGTATGTATGCTTGCCATTGTAAAACAAAGTGCCCTTCTGGGACAAATAAAAGTGTAATTTATTTATTTTTATTTAGTTTAATTTATATTGGTCCAGAAATAGAGCCAACTGAGTTTAAGAAAGTTAGTCATCTAAGTTCCAATCCAGTCCAAAAATACACCCACAAATGGAGATCAAAATTTCGCCACGTACATGTGCTCGATTGGCATTGCTACTTTGAATCTGAACAGAAAAGTCCAAGAGCCAAGAGTAACAATAAATTTCAAGGGTACAGTAAAGTTAAGATCAAATATCCAGTAAAAGTTAAAATGTACCATACAGTAAAGTTAAAGTTAAAATATACAGTACAATTATAAAAGTATGCTGTAAGGTTCAAGCGTACAACTCAGATTCAATTGTTGGGGAAAGGTCAAGTATATCGTGAAGTTCCCGGGATGTGTACCTGTCAAAGCTGTCAAACACAGACTGAGGAGGAGCAGGGCTTCTGACACTTCCACCAGACTTGTCAGCCTCTCCGTCATCAACATCATCTTCCTCATCCTCTATGACTTTCACATCAACACATTTCACAAGGGTGTCACTCTTGCCGCTGGCTTTGAAAGAACCTGATGAAAAAATATTAATATGACATAAAATTAAAATACATTACTCCAGAGGTACCAACTGAAAAAGAAAGAAATACTTAACTTTGCAAATCCTGTGAAAATGCTAGTGCAAGGACTCCGAATTTACAGATGATATTATCTACATGCATCATGTATCAAGAAGTTGGGCAAAATCTGGATGATTTCAGATATCCAGATTTATCAGGAAAATCGGCACCTCAGACACAGCAAACTGTTTAATGATTCTGTGAAAACTGCATTCATTGTAAACTTATAACATCACCATCAACACAATTTAGATAATTCAGGACACAGGTTTCTCTGCTTGTCAAGACCATCCCCAACTGAGATTGACACAACATCTGAGGAGAAAGACAGACTCTCAAATATAAAATACACTTGACTTTCCCACTTGGGAATTGAACTCATTTTTTTAGTACAATGCCAAAAAGCCTAACTACAACACCACATACACTGATATCTTTAATCCGATCCATTGCAAAAGCACAGTAAAAAATTTTAATAGCAGAATTCACTCCCTCATGTATGTCCTGGCTCCAGCCTGTATTTGATGAAGGAAGAGGCTAGCTGTACTTTATGACGGCTAGAAATAAACTACTTGCGCCGCATTGAAATCTTTTGTTTTGCTTCATTTCCACTGTTTATTTTGTTTGTACAAGTAAAGAAAAGCGCATCAACACGATAACGGTAACTTGGTGCAAGGGAATAGCACAATGGCTAGACAGAAACAATAACGGTGAAGAAAAGAAGAAGGACTTACCAGTATTGCCCTCCAGCCACCTGTCTCCTTTATTGTTTGTCTGTCAAAACAAATGCCCACTGTTTGCGGTTCAAGAGCTCTTTTCTTAATACAATAGGTTAGGCCAGGGACCTAGCACAAGTCACTAACCTGACCTCGCTTATCATAACGATACAGGTCTTGTTACTGCATGGCCCACAATGCTTAAAAGCACGCTCAGCTGGAAAACACAAATCTTTTACACCACATAAGATGTAAGGGTGTATTTTACTATTTTACAAGCGTAATAAGCAGTGGCATACAAATGGTGTAAAAAAGACGGAACAAAATATTGACAGAAACCATAAACAATTGGCTTGAGCAGCACTCACCTCTCAAATACCGTGAGGGCAGCTGTTGTGAATCTTTGGCCAGAGACAGTAAGTTCCTTGAAGCGTACGACAGGCTACTGGCAAACTGGGACCCCATCTGTTATTTTAAAAAATAAATATACCTGCTGACTCTTTAAAAAAACAAAAACACCCCCCCCCCAAAAAAAACAACCCTTGACCAGTGTTTGATGTTTCAGAAGAATACTGCATGCATCAAACCAGAGGATCTCTTTCTTCTTAATTCCACTTTGTAATTTCCACTAAATTCCTTGTAGTACAAACACAATATATTCCATAAATCACAATAACACACACTGAACATGAAGCTTGGAATTATTACAGAATTTACAGAGATTTTTAAAAAGTAACAAACTCCATAAAGTTGCTTGATAAGCAAACGATTCAAATAATGCTATCCTTAATCTACATGATGGAAGTTACAAGTAGAAAATAAAAATAAAAAGCAGGATAGATGCAGGCAGGGGCCGGAAGGGGGAGAAGGAAGAGGGGAGTTATTAAAAAAGACCAAAGTCCAAGGCAAAATAAAAAAATATTTTTGCAATTTATCACTCAACATGTTCAACACTCATCACACCATTACAGTTTCAACAAAAGAAATGGAAAATTTGATTCTTTTATTACTTTCAAACAAAGTGCAAGGTTTTTCTAAGATGTAGCCTGAACACAGGAGGCAGGAGGACAAACAAATAAAAAATCAGAACTGTTGTTCAGATTTATGCCAGTGCCTGTCATACAAATCTCAAGGTACAAACACATCAAATTGCAATACCTGTCCAGGAAGACTCTGTTGAGGACTGGGAGCGATAGTTTCATCCTCCGCATCACTGTCGTCATCTTCAGCAACAACAGCTTCATCATTCTCATCTTCAACAACTTCCACTGTGCTGGTTCTGACTCTCACATTTACAGCAGGCACCGTCCTTTTGGGAACACTTTGTAATGAGGGCAGGGTGAAAAAATCTTCATCCTCATCAGATTCTCCATCGCCAGTGGGTTCCCCAGTATTGGTGCCAGTCTGAAGAAGATTGGGGGCAATAGTCTCGTCAAAGTTAGTGCCAGCCTCTGAACGTTCTTGGTGGACGTTTTTAATAGCGGCCTGAAACGGGAAAGGAACAACGTGGCTTTTTTTTTTAGAAATGTCTTATTATAATCCAACTTAAGTTTTTCACTTGAAAAGTAAAAAAAAAAAGCCACACACACCCAAAACAGCCACGGAAAGTGATTTTCCGATATAACTGATTTAAAAATAACAACACTGAGAAAAGAAAAGATCAGCTTAAAGACTTTACCCTTTACAAGAAGAAAATCTTGTACACATTTGATGATAGGTCCCAGGATTTACGGCTAGTTCAACAGCAAGCCTAAGAGGTTTTTTTTGTGGATAAAACAGAACACCACACAACACACAAGAAGGCTAAGAATTTTCAAAACTTACCTGCCTGGTTGCTGCCACCCCACTCTTCCCACGTGCAACTGACCCTTTTTCACAAGGTAGCTTAGACTTAGCGCCGGGGGAAGACAAGATGGAAGGTGACCTTTCTTGAGATTCCTTTTCTTGTATCATGGAAACTGTGTGTTTGGTTTTGCTCGCAAACAAATCTTTTTTGGCACTTTTTACTGAAGTCACATCACGTACCAACTTGTGAGGAGAAAACTCTGGTAGATTTGGAGATCTTTCCTTAAGTTTAAGCAAGTCCGCTCTGCCCAGATTTTTAGTTTTTACTGGGCTTTTGCAGACATCAGCACTTTTAACAGGGCTAGCGTCCTCCACGGTGATCACTGTATCTAGGTCACTGCTTTTATTGCCTCTACTCCTAGATTTTTTTGTTTTAACACGGTGATCGATTGATTCATCTACATCATTCTGGGAAGCTGGACAGTCCTGCAGAGACCTTTGAATGGCTTCATCAAACTCCTCCTGCTCTTGTTCATTCAAATCTTCTGCTCTACATTTCATTGTCCCCTTTTCCACAAATGTATGGAAGGCTTGGGTCATAGTGGATTGTCTTAAAGACTTCTCGGGAGACACATTTTCTTTCAAGTTCGTTCCTCTGTGAAGATCATTCTTTGCCGTTAAATTATTACCCACACGCAAAAGGGCTGGATCTGGACTATTTGGCGCAGGTCTTCTCTTTTGAAGAGCAAGGCTGCTACTTCGGCGAGGAGTGGCAGATTTGTCTTTAGACACTTTCACTTCATCGAATATTCTTGGCGAAGTACTTGCTGGTGTCTCCGGTGTTTTCATATCTGAGAGATTTGGAGTTATTGTGACATTTCCTTCCACACTCGCCCTCAAACTGCTGGGGCCCCTCTGTACTACAGGGGTCGGCTCTTTGAAATGGCCTCCAGGGGGCGTTGACTTCACTCGTCTGGTGTGAACAGGAGCAGAAATGAAATTGTTTTGCATTTGCGCAAGGGTATCTTTATCTTCAGCACCACCAGTGTGCAGATCCGAAAAAGACGAAACAGAAACAGATGGAATGACGCAGTCTGAAGGCTTAGACTTTGAGGCAACTCCTATAGAAGTGTCACCCTTTTTAGTCTTAGATATCCTTCCTTCCTCCCTTTGAGGTCTCAGCTCTTGACGCAAACAGGCATCCGTCCCAGTCACAGTCTTGTGGGACATTTGCCCTTCCTTCCCATCATAATCCTCTTCTAAGTCAGACTCTTCTGCCTCTTGAGACAGTGCTCCTTGCTCAACGAGAGCATCTAAAGCGAGGGTTTCTGGAACGACCAAATCGTGCATCTCCGTATTAAACTGTCGGGCCTCGACCTCCGTCTCAGGAACAAGGATCGACTGCAGGTCCAGCTGTGTTTGGGTGGGGTTCACCACTTTGCTCAGAAAAGTTTCTCCATCGCTTTGTTTCTTTTCTCCTGGTGTGGGGGACACTTTTGCCTTCTTGGCATCTGGATGCTCCTGGGGGACAAAAGAGAACGAGGATGGATCATCATTTACCATTTCATACAAAAATGGAAGCCTGGAACAAGCTAGAGCAGTCGAAATTGTCCAACACAGCCACTTATAGAAAAGGAGAAAAGTGATTGCCTTAAACTAGTAGACATCTTATCTTGGGCAGTGTTGTCATAATATTAAGTAAGATGCAAACGAAAATGGGAAGTGGTCATTTGTACGAGTGACTATTAGAGCAGGTGCAACTGTATACGTACTCACACATGATACTGTGATACATCTCGATTAAAGCAATACTATTACCTAAGCAGACCCTAAAACACACAGAAACACCCCCAGCTTCCTGGAAAGCATACAATGTGTACAGCCAAATAAGCCCTCAAACACCAACAAAATTATTTTTAAGATCTTTCGCTGTCATGGTTATTCCCACCTGGGTGAAGTGCGGATAATTTCTGTAAAATAACTTTCCCAAGGACACAACATCAGGGCCCTCATAGGGTTCAAACCTATAACCTTTTTGTTGTGAGCCCACTAGACCACAAAAAGTTTATAAAAAATCACATCCTATATCAACAAAGCCTGAGCCATATGTAATGGAAAAAAAGTATTAGCTGCTTGCATACACAAAAAGAAAAGCACAATACCTCATAACGAGAGCGTCTCTTTCTCTGCCTGGGCAACTGTAGTTTAGTGTGCTGTTTACGCAACGTAACGTCAGAACGAGAGACAGGGGTTTCTATCCGGTGGGTGGTCCCAACTGGTTCACAACCTTCGTATGTTTCAGAGGTATCCTCCAACAAGGAATGTCCATCTTCAGAAGTTAAGGTTTCATCTGTGGGGATGGAAAAGCTCCCACCATCCACTTCTTCCCCAAGAGTGCGAAGTCTGTTTTCTGAAAGAGAAAAATGGTAACAAGGTATGACCATTAGTTTCTGACAATTTTTTTCATCGTTTTCCCAGACAACTATGCATATAAGAAAAAAGTCCAAGAGAGAAAAATAAAACAAAAACTGTCACATTCCAGAAGAACCCATTCTATCATTATTTTCATATGTTGTTGTTGCTAGCGATCCAGTAGCATCTGAGAGTTAACTCTTCAGCATGATGCCATTCTGTAATAGCTGCATGTCTGTTCTAATTGTTGTCTTGAGGAGTAGAGGCAGTTAGATGTGTGGGGTAGCTTGGGAAGAAAACATCCCCTTAAATCAGTTGTTTTCTACAGAAGAAAAGATGATGTTCCACTATCTCTGAGGGGTAGTCACATAGTGGGCAGGCAGCAGACTGCTTTACTCCAATTCGGTTGAGATGTAGATTGAGGGGTACATGTTGTGTTCTAAATTGGAAGACTATGGATCGATCTCCCCTCCTCAACTCATTCATTGGATCTTTGACCAGTGGTTTATTCATGTGGCCATGCATCATCCTTCCTGTAGTACCTGTGGCCCAGTTGTTCATCCAGTTTTTTTATTTTCATTTACTGTTGAAATTATCGACACTGTCATCCAATGTCGATGTTGATGAGAAAAGTGGTAGTCTTAGACAGGTGGACGCTTAGGAGTGTCATTACAATACATGAAAAAATGCCGGAAGTGGCTGTCTGTACAGGTGATTGTCTTAGACTGGTGGCTGTTAGAGCAGGTTCCACTGCATTTGATCAATACATGTGAACCACATATTAGATCTCTATGAATCAGCTATAACAAAACTGTCAAATCCAGCACCAACAAGAATGCAACAGAAGAAATTATCATCATCATTGCTTTTCTCACCCTGCACCAGGGTATAGGCCACGGACAAACACTTTCCACCTTTCTCTATCGCGGGTTAGCCTCTTGATGTTAGTTTTTCCATGTCTTCCCACTTTTTGTACATCAAATTCCGTGATTCTTCTCCAGGTTCCATGTGGAACAGAAGAAATAATCCTAATAAATTCCTACACGTAGCTACCTTCACTTGCTCAGAGTCAGAAGCCATACTTTTTTATATTTTAATGACAACTGAAACTTAGCCCAGCCACAGAGAGAAAAATGAATAGCACTAAGGATCTATTCCAAAACTGACTGCACAGTTTGTGTGCATTGACAGATTGATTGTCCGACTAATATCGAGAATGATAAAGAAGTTTAAATTTGAAATTCATTGTCATTGTATTCTGAAAGACTGCCCACAAGTTAGAAATCTGATAGTGCAAGTTAGTTCATACATTGTCAGGCGTTTGTGTGTGTATACTTAAAATAGCGATGTAAAGAAAGAACAAGGAACCAAAAAGACAGACAGACTTTTATATTGCACTGCTCACCTAAGTGCTTGATAATTACGTTCTTGTCCTTTAGTCGGCTGTGGAAATGTCTCTGTAGAGTTTTGTTCATTTCTTGAAGATGAACACAAGACTGGCAAGAAGAAGGGCTGTGGATATAGAGATAAAAAAAAGTTTTCATGACACTCGGTACACAAGCTTTATTTCAACACTAAACAAATATCTATTTTTACAACGTAAAAATACAAACAGCAGTAGAGGGTGTACCAAACTTTGTTGCACAACAACATGAAAAATGAAAGAAAACATGCCCAATTTCAACAAGGCTAGTACTGCAACTTAAAACATGTCTTACATGTAAAGCGTAGAACAGAGGGGAGCTCTTGAAACTGTAAAATTAAAACAAACAAATCATTTAAAAAACTCTAGCCCACCTAAATTCCAATTCAAATAACACACAAGAATTTCATCATCTGATGAATCAAATAATACCATTTTTTATTTTAAATATAACGACCCTATTTATTAATTAATATATCATTGTTGTTGTATAATATACTCTAAGCCATACCTTACTGCAGATTGATTCTGGACTTGACACTTCAGCTTTTCATGAGCCTCTGTCACCACATCCAGTTTTGACTTTAAGTCTGAAATTGACAACAAAAACAAAGAAAAAAACATTCAAAATCATCTCTCTTTTTTTTTACATAGACTGTCTATAGACTATAAAAAAATCTATAGCCAGTATTGCGATTGATACTGTCAGTGGCAGTGGGTAGTGAAGGGCTTACAGGCTTGAACCCCTCCACCCTCCCCTCAACTCTATCCCTTGATAAACAAAAGTTTCTTAAATTATAACAAAATAAATAGTTGGAACTGTTATATAACGATCACATGCAATGGACAGAGTGATCAACTTTACGTCTTGCTCATTTATCCAATCAGTGTTGTCACTGCTCACAGCTATAGTAACCTAATAGATGTCTTTAAGGCTAAGCAAAGAATTTAAAACCCATTCACATTCCCACGGCCCGTTTTAAATGAAACTCTTCTTGTAAAAAGGTAATAGAAGATTTGAAAAAAAAAAGAACACATATAGGGCTCATGTTTTCCTAGCCTTGACAACCAATGGGGTGAAAGTATGGGAGACACTTTCCGCCAGTGACACAGCATGGGTCTCAACTCAGAATTTTTTAAAAGGAGGAACTTTCCATATGATCGCGACAGAAGACACCTTTTTTGCAAAACACCCATTATTAATAGTTTAACCCTAGAAAGCTGAAATAAAAACCATCAATTTATCAAAGCAAGGTTATTTAATACCAATCTGTTGTGTTGGCTGGGACTGGGGTTAGCGAGTGCATAAAAATGGCTCTGGCTGAAAGATTACATGCATGTCAGTAAGGCACCTTTTGCCTGGTTTCGTCTGAAATACAAATACTTAGGCATTGCGAACTAAAATTTTATTTACAATTCATTCAGCCATCCTTATTTTAGAACTGCTAGCCTGCCAGTGGATGACAAAGGCTAGCAAAGACAACTCTGTACAGAAACCGGCAGTAGACAACGGGAAACCACTGCTGTAATATCCCAAGAATAGTCATCATGGAAAAGCACATGAGCCCAATCCTGAAAAATAGCAATATCTCAATGAACACCAAAGCGAAAGCTCTGAAATGCTAGGTTTGGTCAACCCTTCTATATGGCTGTGAATGCTGGACAATCACTAAAGACAGTGAAAATAAAATAGAAACAACAGAAATGAGGTTTCTTAGGAGACTGCTAAGTGAGTATCGTGGAAGGAAAAGAAATCAAATGAGGTAGTGCTTGATGAAGCCCACATGGGACGCCCAATGTTAAAAACAATCAGGAAACGACAAATGCAATTTTTGGAACACATAAATAGACAAGGGTCTTGAACACCTAGCTGTCACTGGCAAAACTGAGGGCAAGCGAGGCAGAGGAAGGCCCAGAACAACATACTTGGGGAACCTAAACAAATGGGTTACAGGGAAAGACCAGGGAAACATAGCTTTTTAGAGAGCATCCGAACAAAGGAATGAATGGAGAACCATGATCGCTGATGTTTGTCTCAAATCTGGCACTGGATGATGATGAGCCTGCCAGTGTAGCCGTACTTCCCTGGAAGCGCACGCAGGCCCTATAAAGTGCAAGAGCCGGGCTACCCGGGAAGCGCGCAGGCCCTGAATGTATAGGGCTGACCTACTTCGACCTGTAAGCGTGTAGGCCCTCAAGGAAAGGGCATAGACGCTGACCTTTTTCAATGGAAAATTTCAGCATTCCTCATACAGATCAATGGAAAATGACGTAGTAAATCGGCGCTGATCATGGCGTTAGACGCGAGACGCACAGTCTGTGACGTCGCCTACTGGTGTCGGTACCGGTACTGGGGGTTCTCGGCACTACCGACACCGGATTTCACCAGTACCGCCCAGCACTACTATCCTGCTATTAAGTACGGCTAGCCTGCCAGTCTAGCCGTACTTATTTTAGGCCCATACGGAGAGTCTACGTACACCGTAACTGGGCACCTAGCCTCAATGTCTACGTACACGGTAACCGGGCATGTAGTCTCCATATCTACGTACACGGTAACTGGCAACCGGGCACGTAGTCTCTCTATCACGTACTACGTACACGGTAACCGGACAGTCCAGAACTCCCAAGTTCAGTTTGAGTTTTTGTCCCCCAGTGTTGCCTTCATCCCCACCCCTCCCCCGGCTGTACCTTTAAAAAAATCAATCCCCCCCCCCCCATTCCAGAGCCCTATACTTCGCAGCGCACAGACTTTGAATAAACTTTGGTGACCCCTTCACAGGTACTCACAATGTGACGCGCCCGCACAGGTTCACTGACCAGTCACGATGGCGAGCCCAACAAGACGCTTGTACGACTTTCTTTTTTTTCTTCAGCAAGTGACAGCACAGGACAAATATTGATATAATTATTTTCATTCCGGTTACCGTACGTAGCCTAGATACTGAGACTAGAATCTAGGTGCACGGTTACCGTATACGTAGATACTGGGACTAGGTGAGACTAGGTGCCCGGTTACTGTGTACACTGAGACTAGGTACCCAGTTACCGTGTATACGTATTAGATCTAGAAACCTGTTGAGTATACAGGTCTTAGTCTTCTTTTTCTTTTTTTTTGTTTGATACAAGTGTTTTACGGCGCTCGCAACTGTCATAAGAGCACGCGGGACACACCTAATACTTTTAGTTGGTAGGAAATTTTGAATTTTGCCCGGGTGGCGGCCGAAGCCTACTATCGATTTTAGACACCAAGGGATCTTTAACTTTAATGTGCGCAACTTGCACACGGGCCCTCCGAGATTTTTCGCCCTTGTCCGAGAAGGCTAGGTGTAGATCTAGGGGTGTGGCAGAAAGACAGCTGTAAGGAGTCAAGGAGTAGCAGGAGCCCAGAGGAGGGGGCAAAGGAGGTGAAAGGGTGGGGGCAGAAAGAGGAGACGAAAGCAGACGAAAGAATATTGCTAGAGAGCAGGAAAGGAGGTGAAAGGAGACAATTTTAGAGAAGAAACTTTTTCTGTCGCTACCCGGATTCGAACCTGGGACCTTTGAATGAGAGGCACCTTAACCTCTAGGACTCTAGGCCACGAGAGCCCCCCTCTTAGTCTTCTAGATCTAGTAATTCAGACATGCCGTAAAACGTAGAAGACGCATCTTTCTGATTGGCTGCTAATTTTAGGCCTACTACGATGTTATCACTTCCTGGGATACCCACATGGAACGACATGTTTTTGGTAACATTTCGGATTTCCTAAATCTAGAATCTAGATCTACCCCCCCACCCTCCTACATTCTTCATCACTGATATATATAGAATCTACATGATTTAAAAACAACTTCAAAGCAGAGCTCTACAAATACAAATTTTATAATTTATTTGGCTAGTTATTCGCACAGGGTGTGTGAATACTATGGAATTGTATTCGCACAGGGTGTTTGAATACTATGAAATTATATTCGCACAGGGTGTGTGAATTTATATAACTACAAAATATTATTGGCACAGACAGGGTATTTCAAAAAAAGGATGGAAATTATCTAGATTCTAGATCAAGCATTTCCTCATTTTTCCTTTTTTCATCCTCTTTCGCGAAGAGACAAAGATCATGGGATAGATCAAGAAATCTAGATCTAGATCTAATTCTAATTGTGCAATACGATACAACCCCCCCCCCCCCTCCACCAACTCAAATTAAAATTCAAGTTGTGTATTGTGTTAATGATAATGACTCAAATCTCTCTTTTTTCATTTTTTTTCTGTTTTCCTTGCGCTATAGAGAGAGAGAGAGAGAGAGAGAGAGAGAGAGAGAGAGAGAGAGAGAGAGAGAGAGAGAGAGAGAGAGAGAGAGAGAGAGAGAGAGAGAGAGAGAGAGAGAGAGAGAGAGAGAGATATGAGTGCATGCTTGTTACTTTAAATTGACCCTAAACAAGTTGTACTTGATCTAGATCTAGATCTATCTAATCTGATCTAGATCTAGTGTCCAGTTGTTTTAACATTTAAAGCCTTTGCCAAAAGGTGGGATACCCGGGTGTGACAAACGAGGTCCAAAATCAAGGTAGGCTCGACCCTGTGCGAATAAAATGAATGAAGTAACTATTCGGACTCGAGTCTGAATATGAAAAAATGTTATTCGGACTCCCGACTTCCTGTGACTCGTGACTCCGGCTTCCTGTCCTGCCTCACTCGTGACTCGCCTCAGGCTGGGTAGAGACCGGGATCGCTTCGGGCAAAATGGCGTTTTGTGCAGGAGCCTACTTTTTATCTTATGATGAATTTGAGGCCGGCCTGAAAAGATATAGCGCTTTTAATAAATGTTTATTTGCCAAGAGGTCATCAGAAGCAATTAAAGATGGCTCGTTAGCGTGTGTCGGGGTCGGATTGACGGCCTGCACACGTGTGGCTGTGTGCGTGTCGGGGGGGGGGGGGGGGGGGCACTATCGGTCCGGGCGTTGAACGCATCAGTCTTTTTTCCCCCGGCAACTGATCAATATTACAATAATAAGCTAGTCTTAACGTAGATCTAAGCAATGAATTGTGCGCTGTTCTATGGAATCAAAAGTTGCCGTATGTTCAGCTCTACACAGCAACACAACTTTTTCTTGGTAAAAAATCGAGATGACACAGGCATGTGTGTATTTGAACGAATCTTGAAAAAATGTTATTCGGACTCGAGTCCGAAAAACGACGGCCTAAAATGAAATCTTATGCATGCGCAGTGCACACCCGGTGACGTGTGATAACCACTTCCAATTTATTTATGGGACTGTTGGTCAGTCGGGAAGAGGAGAAGAGAAAAAAAAAAAAAAATGTCCGGGACCAGGATTGAACTGCTCCTAAAATCATTGCATGACTTCAAACGCAGACACACTGACGGCCATCAGAACTTCCGAGACAGACTGAGACAGTGAGAGCAAGGTAAGCATTTCACTTCCATCTTTGGTGCCATATCCGCGGTTGGCTATTCTCATCCGGGGTGAGAGTAGAAATACGATCGACCTCTCACCCCGGGTGAGACTTGCGACCGTAGGCTATTCTCACCCGGTTTGAAACAAGACCTGTTTTTCCTAATTTCGGAATACTTTCTATCGATGTGGATGATCAAATGGATAAAGGCAAAGAAAAGATTACGTTATAGCACAAAAGTAAGCTAATTTTATCGACTACAAAGATGCTATGGCTAATTCACTTTTCGAATCGAGCCGAACAACGGGGGTCCCATTTTGTTTTGCCCGGAAGTTCTCGCAAGATCTACTCCTCCCCTCTTCTCTCTCTGTCTCTTTCTGAATACTGTCTGTCGGTGTGGACGATCAAATTGACCAAAACAAAGTTAAAAAATGATGTTAAAACACAAAAGTAAATTAATTTGGTTGTCTACAAAGATGCTACGGCTATTTAACTTTTCGAATCGAGCCGAACTACGCGGGTCGCCATTTTGTTTTGACTGGAAGTTCTCGCGCTACTCCTCTCTCTCTCTCTCTCTCTCTCTCCACTGCCCACAGACAAAATTTGAAAATTGTACGCTTTTAGTAGGCTACACAGTTGTAATGGAACGTTTGTTCACGGCACAGAATTCTACAATTTTTCTGTTATCACAGTGTAGAATTCTGTGGTTTAGGGTGAACGCAAAATTTGTTGGCCTAGATCTAGGCTATAACGGTGAACGCGCACCGGGTGAGAATAGCCAAAAGACTCGCCTGCACTATTCTCATCCCGGGTGACCGAGGCAGGCCACCTCTATTCTCACCCAGAGGGAGAATAGTGCAGGCGAGTCTTGTGGCTATTCTCACCCGGTGCGCGTTCACCAAATTTTGCGTTCACCCTAAACCAAAGAATTCTACACTGTGTGTGAGGAAAAATTGTAGAATTCTGTGCCGTGAACAAACGTTCCATTACAACTGTAGCCTACTAAAAGCGTACAATTTTGTCTGTGGGCAGTGGAGAGAGAGAGAGAAAGAGAGAGAGGAGTAGCGCGAGAATTTCCGGGCAAAACAAAATGGCGACCCGCCTAGTTCGGCTCGATTCGAAAAGTTAAATAGCCGTAGCATCTTTGTAGACAACCAAATTAATTTACTTTTGTGTTTTAACATCATTTTTTAACTTTGTTTGGTCAATTTGATCGTCCACACCGATAGACAGTATTCAGAAAGAGACAGAGAGAGAAAGAAGAGGGGAGGAGTTGATCTTGCGAGAATTTCCGGGCGGGTGAGAATAGCCACTTTCCTGCATAGAGGTGGCCATACTTAGAAGATGTAGTCACGTGATCAGAGGGGCATCATGGTCTGACGTCAAACAAAATGGGCGCCTACCTAAAAATAGTTGGCGCTTTTTCGGTAGTTCCCACCCCGCAATTGTTATTCACGGGTTTTGGCCCCAAGAGTAGGGGGGTTTCAGGGGGGCTTGCCCCCCTGACCTAACAAAAATAGGAAGGGGGGTTTCAGGGGGGCATGCCCCCCCTGAATTTTACCACAATTTAATGTTTTGCTATTGTTAGGTTTGATATCTTAGCTCATCGCGCATCAAAAGTATAGATCTAGATCTAGAATCTAGATCTAGATGTAGGTCAGGCTCAAATAAAAGGGGGGTGGGAACTACCGATAAAGCACCAAAATAGTTTGCGTCTTTCTACGTTTAAGCGCATGTGTAATTCAGTAGCCTAGACCAAGAGTAAGAGCCAAGGACAAGAGTACTTGTTACAACACAAGTTATAAGTACAGTACAGTTGAGTGTAAGTTGTAAGAGATTTTTATCTAAAATCTAGATCTAGATAGATTATCTAGAATCTACATTCTAGATATTAGATCTACCTGCAACAATATCTTTGTGAATATAGAACACATGCTTCAGAGCGCTGGTCAGCGCATTCGTTTCATTTTTTCCTGACGCTGACATTCTCCTCCTTTCTAAGTTCTTAGAATCTGTTACATCCATCTTATTTTTTTCATTCTCATTCTGTTTCCGCCATTCAAACGTCCCTCTCTTTGCTTCTTGCACGAAAAAGACGGAGAAAAAAGAAAAGAGAGCTCTCCTCAGAAGGAAGGGAAAAGAAAATCATTACATAATTGTGCCAGACTTTTATCTGCCTAAAGTTTATAATCAACAGTAGGAACAAATTGATTGGCGTTATACGCTTATATTCCTTTTTTTAAAGAATTCTTAGGAGAAATTACAGTTCAAACATTAATTATTTTTCTACGATACACAAATTTAGTTAAAGTTTCTTTTTGTTTTGTTATTGATATTTTGTGTGGATTATCTTCATATTTTGTGCCAAATCGGTACTATCGTTCTTTTACAACAAAGTAAAAAGAACTAATTACAACTAGAGCTCTTTGTTCAACAAAAATAAAATCATCTACCGGAAGTAAGCAAACCAAGGCATCCAGCATCCATCCATTCATCAAATTTCAAGATGGCGATGAACAAGAGAGGAAACGTAAGTGACGCGACAGAATGACTTTTTAATGGAACGTCCCTATTTTTATCACGCGTTTCTTATTTGAGAGATTGAGTCTAGATTATTTAGATCTAGATCTACATGTTATAAAGTACGCAGTGGCTACATTCATGGCGCCGTGAACGTAGCTTGCAGGCTACGTTCACGGCGCCCTGAATTTGAAGAATGGAATGCCTGCCTGAATGTTGACGTTGTTAAAGTAGAAAAGTACAGCAATTTACGAATGATCGTCTTGCTCACTTCACCCCCTCCTACCCTTTTCTCTTCCCGCCTTGGCCTTCTTTCATTCTCCTTTCTTTCTTCGAACAACTTTTATTTTCAAATTTATTGTCAACAAGCGTTGCCGGGTTCGCACACGGGAAGGGAAGAGGATCGAAGTCGTGTTCCTCCGCATGCTCAGCGAGCAAGGCCTTGAGGCTTGTCTTGTTGTTGACGGTAAGATTGTACTTTACCGGACCACCGGTCGGAACTACTTTCGCTGTGG